TACTGTAAAGAGGCATTTAATTAAAAAAAAATTAATACATCATATAATTTTGATAATGTTTATTAGTAATATGGTAACACTCATGATGCACACATTTATTAGTGTCAACCCATTATACACATTTATATAATGATAAATTATAAATTATAATTATATTTAAAAACAATAATGTAATTAAAAGTCATACTTCAAATATGACATGATCGGTTTGTCATTGTAATTAGCATTTAGAAAATGAACCTTCACTAGAGAAATGAAGTAATGCTGATTAACAAAATTATAAATCTTCGTTCAGACAGTGGATTATATTAAACAACGCCTAAACAAATATTGTTTTGCAACTTCACTCATCATGTATTGTGTTGAAGAACTTCATGTAATTAAATTAACATACATTCATTGACTGCTTGTATTTTTGCCAGTACGCCTAAAACGACAGATCTCTATTCACATACACGACGTCTAATCACAATCGACCGTTTAGAAATGATTTCATCGAGAGCCGTAACGCTTTTCGTTGCATTGTACGGATTTACACCATCATTATTTTACCACTTTTATTTTTTTGGCAATTATACCAAACAGTTCCACAAAAGCTGCATCTCTCTAACAATTATAGCTACTGAATGATAATCTGAAAAAATTATAGCCTCATAAAACCAACCGTTAAATTTCATTGCGGAAAACAAACACAAAACCCCCACGACTTTAGAAAAATGAAATGAGAAAAGCTCGTAATTTTATTGTCATTTCGCTTTAAATCGAAGCAGCAACTATTCCTGGCGTCATACGCGACCTGTAACTGCCCTCGGCCTTGTTTTGATAGCTGTAAATTGAAAGCTGTTTTTATAGCGAACTATAGCTGTCCACGTTCAACTTTATTAGTTTCATCAGCGGTAACTCAATTTTACGAGCTCTTACCGGATATAGCAAAATGATAAGCTAAACTTAACTTTTATGGGCCACTCTAAACCAGCAGCTAAAATTCTGATTTAAACCTTCGGAAGTTTTGAGACTGACTAGCATTATATATAAATAAATCTAATTTATTTTTATAACATGAGAAAAATAACATGGTAAAATGAGTAATTCCGTATCTAATAAAAATCACAGCATTATTGATAATGTTGTTTTTTTTTTGAAAATTTTGAATTTTTTTGTATGTTTAATTAACTTTTTTTCAATTTACAATGTAAATTACAATCTGACTTATATGGTATAAAAAAATTACAATTGAGTCGTATATTTTTTTTAATTTGTTTTAAGAATGGTTTTTTTTACACAACTTTGTAGATAACCTTGATCTGGTACTTTGTCAGAAATATTCATTAGCAGAGTTTGAATAATCATTTACCTGTTGTAAATTTGCTGTTTTTAACTTAATTTTCCTTTTTATTTACTATTATTCATACCTTTTCCAGGGTTAAGGTTTAGTTGTTGTTTTTTAACCTCACCCAAGTGTAAGCTTTAATAGAGGTCATATAATCTAATTTAATAATAAAATATTAATATAACAAATCTTATTCAATTAAATGAGGTAGACTAAAAAATATTTAAATAACTAATAAGGTATACTAAAAAATTATATTAATGTCTCATAAACTAAGAAACAGTATTCACGACTACAAAAACTAACAATAAAAGAAAATACTTTTGTTTTGGATTTTCAAACGTTGCTGTTTTTCTTCCGATAGCAACGTCGTAAAAATCAAGGTAATGTCTGGTTACACATTTTCCCACTCTACTTTCAAATATTGTTGTTAAAAAGTTCTTAACTTACTGGTTTTTGAAATATCAGTGGTGGACCTTTTTACCCGCGCACCTTTTAGCTCCGCTCTATATATATGGTAAATATCTTTTTGAATTTTGTGCAATAATGATATATTTACATATTACATTATTTATTTCATTATTTTTGTAGTCGTTACAAAATATGCAATCATGTCTAAATCAACAATTTTCAGTTATTTAAATAAGTTTAATTTGTTCAATAATGATTATATTTATTTTGTTAAATAATTATTTATGTATCATTTTTGTAATTATCTCAAAATAAATAATCAACTTTCAGAGACACAATTTATAGATAAATTAACTATACAGTAAATAAAAAGTTATTTTATATGAAACAATGAGCTCCTAAAATTTTTTATCAATATCATATTTAGTTAATCAATAATATTAATTAGAAAAATAGTGTGAATAAATATTCATGATAATATTGTATGAAAGAAATAAGATTGACCGAGTATTAATTCAATTAAACAAAGTGTTATTTCACGTACTATCAGAATATGTTAGTCATTTTTAATTAATTTAAATTTTTTAAAGTAATTTTAAAATTAAGTACAAACTTTGTTAAATACTAGTTTAAATATATTCAAAATAAAAATATCTTTAAATAATATTAATGCTATATACAGCATTGGTAATCAAAATGCGGTCAAATTTAATTAAATATTTTAATTGCGCAAAGTTTTCTCTATTGCTCATGTCACAATAATATTTCACAATAGTAAACAAGATCCTAATGAGTAACCCAAACCAACATAAATTAGCATAAACAAATCAATATTTTAATGAAAACATTGGAATAACAAATGTACAATCAAACACATATAAATATTTTGTTTGCGTTTACATTCAGGTGTGTATCATCGTTCCTCCATATGACCATGAATAAAAATATTACTTCTTACGACCAGTACATTTCACATATCTTCATTGATCCTCGTTTACGTTAGCACCTGATATTTAATCCCATACACTGTAAAAGATCTAGTTTTGAACCACTTCAAGCCAGTCAGGACTTCGTTCTTAATAGCACCAAGGTTAATATTACATTTCTCTGAAATGGGCTGGGCTTGATTGATGACATTACGATTTGTCATCTATAAAAAGAATATGAATATAATGTACAAATATGAAAGTAGATA